ACAGGTCCGCTTCACTTCGACAACATATTGACTTTACTTGTCCAGGTCAAAATGTGGATCACTCTTCTCATTCCTCGCATCGAGGACGGAAACAACTTTGGAGTCTCTATACAAGAGGAGACCCTTGGGGAGGTGATTTACTGACAGAGTTACTGTTGTTATATTGATGAAGGGGGTTTCTCTCCCACAAATTAAGTGTTGTTGCATAGGATCGTAAGTATCTCACAATAAAATCCTGCTTACAGGTGCGAAACGTCGAAAGCGAAGCAGCTTCGTTCCTTGATCAGATGAGCAGATATTTCACAAGTAGGGCTAAATTGCTCACAAAGGTTAGTGAAAATGTTTCTGTCTTTTTCGTAATTCTTTGTTATCTATTGTTTTTTAAAAATTTTTCGGGTCCTAGTTATTCTCCTTGCGTTCGCATATTGATTGGTGTGCGGTATCAAACCAGCACTTACTATTCCAAGACTTCTTGCTGTCTTTCATTTACGTTCTAGCACGCAATTTTGTTCTTTCTTTTTTGTTAGCTTGTATTGATCTACTCTATCGCTGTTTTCTGCTCAGGCGGCGTTTCCATAAAGCATATTAGTTAATTGTACTGGAGATAGAAAAATCTATTTATACAGGCTATACCGGTTGTTAAGCCATCATATTCAAGTAAAGACAGCAGAATCGAGGTAAAGTATTGGTCATATCTCTCTGTTGCTCAAGGGACTCGGCTTTTGAGAATCACATCTTTTTCTCACAATCTTGACGTTGCGCTCAGCGTGAAATACCACTGTTATGAGTCAAAGTTTGCACTGGTAGCTCTTTTGTTGATCGTTGCTCTTATTCTCTGATAGTGACTGACTGCTTATGCGCGAAAGTTTGCAGATTGCGAAGTATCCGCACGTTGATGACTACAGAAGAGCCATTCTTGACATGGACGAGAAACAGTTCATTAACATAAGGTACATCTTCCTTCTCATTTTCCTATGTGATAGTGCTCGATCTAGATTGGTCGTTCTCGAGATGCGAAATCATTTTTCCACACTATATGACATCATCACGAAAAACATCGAAAAGATCAAGAAGCCTCGAAACAGTAACATGGACATGCTGTATTAGATCGGGAATTTGTTGGTCTCCTTGCAAGTTCTCCCTATTTTGACCTTAGGCG